CCCCAAAACCCCAAAACCCCAAAACCCCAAAAGAGATTCACAAGATTGAATATAATTGGTTGTTCTTATCTGTTTTGATACATTTTCTTCCACCAATTTGACCTTTCTGTGACTCCTTCTGTGACAGTGAAATGTTGAACCAATCTTTTGTAAACTTGCAAATCTTCATTTCCAAGAGCCCCATTTGCTCTATTAGGGATGGGGAGAACTTTGGTCAGCTCTATGATTTCAGGTCTGAGCTGTGCGCATAGATCCTGGATGTTCTCATCTATTTTATCAAAGTTGTCTTCTCCTAAAACAAGCATGTAAACTGATGGATTTTCATAGATGGTAAGAGTCATTGAGAGCAAGAATAACTTCTCAAACACTGCCTTTGTCTTTTCACAGCTGAATTTAGCCAATAATTCATTAAAGTTATCATGCAAGAAGGTATCGTTGTAAGTTTCACACATTTGTTTGAGTTCAAAATGCTGATACTTTTCAAAGGCTTCTATTATTGGGAGTCCTCAGCTCGATAATTTTGTTGCTGCTTTGATTGCTTGATATCAAGCAACTTCTCTCATCATCAACAAAAGATCATCTGTATTTGAGACTGATCCAGAGAATTTTGGCCTATCAAATTGTCCAAGAGCAAGATACTCCAATGTCTGTGGAAGAGATTTCCCTTGAGATGCTAATTTCATCATCTTTAACATAAAGTTCATTGTTTGCATCCTAAGTACATGATTATCTCCTTCCCAAGTGCAGTGGATATCGTTATATTGAAGCATATTTTCAAAGAGAGAATAGAAAGAGAATCCATGTCCTCCTCATGCTCTTCTACAGTCAGCAATGGTCTCTTGAGACTTCAGAGTTATAAAAGATTTCATATTCGAGGATAAACTGTGGAGGACATCAGTCTGGATATTTCCTGGCTCAAACAACTTAGATGAATTCTTTAGAAAAAGATCCATCACTTTGTTGGCTCCTGTCATGAAAATTAATGATTGAGCAAATTTTGGAATAAGGCGATGTTGCTGAAGAGGGTAATCCAAGATCCTAGTCTCATTTTCAGCAGGCCCAAATTGCTGTCTGACTGCACTAAATCTTAAAGCAACTGTGCATGCCCAAAGACTTAAACCAGATGTACTTGCTAATACAGATATTCTGCCACCAGATAGAGCAGACATAGAGGTTGCGAATCTTTTTCCATCACTTGGGATATCAGTCTTGTATTCACCTTCAGGAGTGACATCTCCAAATCTATTAAGTAATGCTTCTCTTGGGATTCTATATTCATTAAATTTCATCCAGCCATTATCAATTCCGTCAAGTCCTTTCTTCATTCCACAGTCTCCAATTTCAATACCTGGTAAAGGGATGTGGGTTTGCTCATCCCTAATCTGGAATTCAAAGCAGTGAACTCCCTTGTTCACTAGTTTTCCGTTTTTCTCGATCAAAAGCTGGGCTAAGACAACTGCATTGTGAGCAGTTTTGCCAAGATTCCCTATCCAAAATTTCATGGATGTTTGAGTTGGGGAATTAATCACAAATTCTTGAGCATTTTTATCATAAGTAGCTGTGGTCTCAAGCCCTTTAGCATTAGACCCATGGCCTAGCTCAGTGAGGCAGAAGCATCCAATAGTCTTGAACGCCAGACTTTCCATCAAGATGTCATGGTGCCTTTCTGTTCCAAGATTCTTGATGGTCTTGGAGTACAAAGCTGTGTGAGACATGAATCTTGTACTCGCATGAAGGTCAAAAAATCCTGGGGAATTTATTGTGAAGCAAAAGTGATCTATATTTTCAGCAATTTTCTCTGGCGAAGTATATCCTTTCTCGAACATCTTGTTTATCAACCCAAATAAGTAATCATATGAGTTCTCTCTAAGCTTGTCTCTATCATCAAAATGCAATGATGGATCTTGAAGCCCATGAAGCTCGGATGCTCATTCAAGAGCATCAAAGTATCCTTCTGGAAGAATGCTCCATAACACCTCTTGAGCATGTGCAAGATCAAATGTAGCTGTAGATGCTTCTCTTCTAGCATCTATACTAGAGTTAACATGACCTTTTAAAAGGTTTAGTCTTTTCAATGCAGTTTTATGCTCCATATCTGAAATTAATTAAAATGATGTCACAATAATATCTTCAAATATTGGGGTTTTGGGGTTTTGGGGTTTTGGGGTTTTGGGG